GTAGTCACCAGAAACCACAGTGTTTAAGATGCTCAGACATACGAGCTGCTTAATTACTTGGGGTCCAATTGCTGGAATTCATTCAGAAATAAAATGTGGGTCTTAAAAAAAGCTATAAGTAGCTCTTTGGGGGCTTAGAAAACAGACCTGCTGCACCCAGGGAGTTTTAGAAGAGCAAAATAGACAGATCTGCTCCAAGACATCAGTATTCCAGCCTATCACAGTGTGGCCAGGATTGACAGCGAGCACATGTAATGTTACATCTGTGCTAAGGACTGAGAAAAACTCTCAGAGGAGAATCAGGTGATAGCAGAAATGAATATAGGCAAGAGTCTGAATATGGCAGTCTCCCCTACATCCTGGAAATGACACTACACCCTGCATATACTAGCACGAAATTATCTTCTTACTGGTAGAGCTGCTCTTCAAATATTTCATTTCTGGGTTCTATGGATCTTTTTTTATGTTTACATTTCTGACATGGCTGGCCTATCCTTTCACAAGAGCAGGCAGATGCTTTGAAAAGCTAAGCAGAATCAAGAGAGAGGCAGAAAGTGGAGCCCACATAGAGTAAAGCCCAGGCCAAGGCAGAGGTCCAAGAGACTGGCCAGCAACAGACCTTGTACCACCAAGTAGCGGGGTGAGGCGAAGCCTCTGATGGGGTGAGGCTGTGGTGGGAAGTGTCTTGGGGACAGTAGGAAAGATTTAGGCTCATCGCAAACCACCTGCTCCAGTCATGGAGAATCAGTGTTGAAACCTAGATGTGGTCTTTCATATCTTATCATAGGAAGAAGAAGCAGATGCAGGAATACAAAAAAGGATGATTTTATTCACAAAAGTTAGAATTCCCTCTTGTAAAACCATATCATATCTTGTATGATTCATAGAAGCCTATACTAAGAAGGCAATGGATAAAATTACACCTGCATTCCCCAAGACAACAGCACCCCCCCACAATTCACACTACCCTCATTGCAGACACTTGGCACCCCTAATACTCCCAAGTTCATAATCGACAATATGGCTCATACAATGGATGTTTTCCAAATGGGAAGATGTCCTCTGAAATGTCTTCTTAATATATTTTGAGATGGATTTTGAGCTGCTTTTAATACTGGGCTGTGCGGTTTGTCTTATTTATATGAGAGAGGGAATATGTATTTTTATTTTTTGAAAATCAGATAGTGCACATAAACCAAAAGAAAGAAAGAAGAAAAGAGAGAGGGGGGGTGAAGGGAGGGAGGGAGGAAGGAAGGAAGGAAGGAAGGAAGGAAGGAAAGGAAGAGAAGAAAAGACCCAAACGAGATTACTATAAATACTTGGGTGCAAATCTTCCTATCTTGCATAAGGGTGCCTCTGTATGTATGCTTTTTCTTACAAGAAATGAGAATGTTATGTATATACTGTTGTATATCATGGCAAGTCATGGGTTTCTTTTGAACATTTAAGCACATTTTAAAACAAAAAGGATAGTTTTAAAAAGACATAATATGCTTGACATTGTGTCTCGTTTCCCATACGATCTTGCTATTACATTCCCACACCCATATTTCTGTTATCAAATGGAAATCCCTTTATCACTTACCCCTGCACATCTGCATATCATCTGTGATGACTCTGATATTGCCCAAGTCCTAAAGTTTCCTCTGAAAACTTCAAGAAAGAGCATTCAATTTAGCTTTAGTGTTTAGATAAACCCAGGTGTCTAGATGTTAGTAAAAGATGAACCTTATAATTCCCAATCAGATAATAGAAGTAACCAGAATGATATCTTTCTCAATTGTGCATAGTAATGAGCATTAAGCAGAGCAAAATGATAGTACTAACAGGCAGTCTTTGGGAGTTGTGAGCAGTGATCTTGTGGATATGCACAATCTTCTGGATATGCAGGTATGAAGGATAAGAATTCATCTCAAGTAAACAAGGAGATTAATTCACCACCTGGGTTGCAGAATTGGACTGAGGTGAAGTGACAAATATGTATATGTGGACATTTTGATAGAATTTTGTGATTCTATGCTGACAAAGTCCCATTGAATTATCAAGTGGTGACTCCAGTACATGGAATTATATCTGGCTTGTTTAGCTTCCAGCATATGGTCTCAGTTCTTTTTTTTTTTAGCACAATCTAGCTGGTCAACTTTCTAGGGTTCATCAAGAAGTTTTACTTTAGGGAGAAAAAAGAGAAGGAGGAAAATGAACTTAAGGGAAAGGGTAGTAGAACTGGAGATGAAAGTTCCAATACAAGCAAGAAAATGAAACATGGACAGGTTAGAAGAGAATACAAATAGTTGTGTAGGTAAGAGAGATGAATCTACGATATGAAGCTAAGTTTAAAATTTTTTGAGAAGATAAATCAGAAAAAAACATCATAAAAAGTATTGAATGAAAGGCAAACTACAAGTTCTCTGAAATTTTATTTCTAAGTACTGAGTGTACTTCAAAATTTCTTTGTGAGAGATTAAGCCAGCAAATTGATTACTTATCTAGTTACCAATAACTCTGCGACCCCTGGAAGCCAGAGCATGTCATAAACAGAGCCTGATTTCTGAGAGATAAAAAGGAATGATTTCCTTTGCTGAGTTTATGCTCATTTTAGCAATCCCAACTCTTTATAGCTTCATTTTTATTTTTTAATCAATGTAACCTTTACTTTTGGTAAAATTACAATGACATGAAACAAATTTTGTGATCACAATACAATTTTGTGGAGATTTTTCTCTCAAAGATTCTTACAGTATTTCTGAGTTCAGTATCCTTTTACATCTGGAGAAACTGAGGCATGGGGTGATATTAGATGGGGACAGTTCAGTTTCCTTTCTAGTGCTAAAGGGTGAAGCAAAGTGTTTCCAATAAAAGCAGGAGGCAAAGTGTTTCCAATAAAAATGTAACATCCCTATCTGAGATCTACTCCCAGATGTGCATTATACTTGTAATTCCAGCACTCTGGAAGGCTGAGGCAGGAAGATCAAGTTCCAGCCCAGTCTGGGCATTTTAGTGACTTAGAGAGATCTTGTCTCAAATTATAGAAATAAGGCTGGGGATGCAGCTCACTGTGAAAGACCTGAATTCAATTCCCAATAATAAAAACAAAAACACAAAACACAGATGCATGGGTACACACACACACACACACACACACACACACACACACACTCCATCTTTCTTTTTGGCTGGCTGTGATATCAAAACAAAACTGAACTCAAGCATTTAACCTGGAAGTTTCAACTTTTGAAAAATATAATACACTTAAAAATTACAATAATGCTTACATCGCAAAGAAATTTAATATTCCAATAAATTCCCTAATTCAAAATCAAGGGAGAAAAGCATATTACAGATAAATCACTTAGTAACAAAACACATGCATGGGTACACACACACACACACACACACACACACACACACACTCCATCTTTCTTTTTGGCTGGCTGTGATATCAAAACAAAACTGAACTCAAGCATTTAACCTGGAAGTTTCAACTTTTGAAAAATATAATACGTTTAAAAATTACAATAATGCTTACATCGCAAAGAAATTTAATATTCCAATAAATTCCCTAATTCAAAATCAAGGGAGAAAAGCATATTACAGATAAATCACTTAGTAGAGAGTTAGCAATAAATAAATAAATAAAAACAAAAAACCCTCATATCTGAATATGTAGCAACTTTTTGTGTGTGGGGGAATATATTTCAGCTAGCCAGTGAATCTGTAACTAAAGACATCTACACTTAGCCAACTCCAATTTGGCCATAACCTACAAAAATGCCACACTTGAGATTTACAAACTTTGACTCCTTGTTAACACAGTCCTAATTCATGCATGAACTAAACATTCCTCGTGACTCATCTCCTAGAGTTGCCCCAAGGCCACTGTCCAGGTGTCCTGGGAGCCCCTTCTCCCCTTCTTCGTTCCAGGCTCCTCTCCCCATTGTCCGCCTCTTCTGGGCCTGAGACTGAGGTGAGACAAGGGACAGACCCAGCAGTCCCAATTTGCCTTGCACGCCATCACTTACATTCATTAATGACCACTACATTAGTGAATGGAGCTTTTCTCAGTCAAATTGTTTGTTCTGAAAATTATCAGTTACTCTTAGAATCTTAAAGCAACCGATTATCAGCCCAGATTTAGGAAGAAGCCTGAGGTGCTAACAGGCTTTAATGGTGCAAAAAGCGCATGTGTTATTTAATTATTTAAGGAAGGGAAAACCGAAGTCGGAAGTCTCTCTTGCTTGCCTGCTTTCTGGAACTCTGAATGTGAGTGTCTCTGGAACAATGATTAGTATAAAAAGGAAATGGGATGATAGATGACTTTAAAATCTCAGGCAATGATCTTTCCAAATGAAACCGCGGGTCAAGTGAGAGGGGCATAGAGACAGAGTCCCCCAGCCAGTCTCTTGTCTCCATCCCTCTCTGACCTGCTTCTCTTGCCTGCCTCAGCAACTCAGTCCAGAGCTCTTTTCCTAGATCTCCTCCCTGAGCTCCCTCCCACTTAGACTAATTGGCATCTTGGAATTTGTATTTTGTGTGGGGCATCGTGTTAATTATTTGACATGAATCATCGAAGTATTAGTTCCCCATTTTATAGATGAGGAAAAATGAGGCCCAGAGAGGTTAAGTATCTTATTCATAGTAATAAGGCAAGCAGTGCTTGCCACCAGGAAACAGCCAGATCTAAACCTTAGCCTGTGTTGTGTTGCTGCTCAGAGCTCATAGTCACAAGGCAGCAGCAATGGAGACTTGGTGCTACTATATGGTTTACAGAAGTAAAGATTTGAGGTGTGGCAACAAGATGGCACAGTATAGCACAAAATAAATTATAGAGCCTGGGGCAGTGTGAGTATGAAGATGTTGTCCCGTCCAGGATCATGCTGAGATAGGAAAAGTAGCCCAGAGGATGCAGGCTGTGTTTCCCTCACTGGCAGATGGCTGGAGGGGAGCCCCCTGAGTGTAGGCCTGCAGAGGCTCAGTTCACTCACCCCTCTGTCTCCTTCCAGTTTCTCAGGGAGCAACACCCACCAAGAGTACAAAAGGGCTCGGCCCCATGGAGGCAGCAGACCAAGAACCGTCTTCAGATGAGATCAAGACACGTCCTTTTCCCAATGACTCCATGCCATCTGTTTTCTGTGTTTTGCTGTAAAAGAGTGGGAAATGAACCCCTGGGATTCATTTTCCCATTTAGTGCTATGGCGGCAAAGAAAAGTAACTTCATTTCTCAGCTCAAAACTTCGTAAACTGTGTCTCTTCCTCATTATCCCTTTGAGAATAAAAGCCTAGAAATGAAACACAATCCTGACAAGTGGGGAAAATGTGTTTTGACTTTCTTAGTTCAGAGCCAACTCTAAACCTTGAGCCTGGGCCGTTTGTTCTCAGACATGGTGACTTCAGCTGTGAGCTGTTTCATTTGTTTCAGACAGGAATGGATAACTTCATGCTTTGGTGGCCACAGCTTCCTGAATCTCAGCCTCAAACAGGTGCCCTAAGGGCCAACTTCAGAAGACCACTTGACCTTGGGGCTCACGTTTTCAGTGCCTTGTTTTAAAGGGTAGGAGGGAGGGAAGGAGGAAGAGGAGGAATTAGATGAAAGAGACCCAGACTTTGTGGTTTATAAATCACCCCCTAAAACAGCTGAGATTTGAAAGGCACTCAGCCAGGGCTTGTGAAAGAAAATAATTTTCATTCCCAGCCCTAGGACTTATGTAAAGCAACATAGCAAAAGCTGCATTCTCCAGAGAGTTTTTTGAAAGTAAAATGGAGGGGGAAATGTGAAAGTCACTAGAAGGGTAGAGCTACAAAATATATGGAGACAAAACAGAGTACAGCCAGGCACCCAGGTCCTTGGTCAGTGGCTTTTCTGATACTCTGGCTATAGGTATAGAAACTTTGCCTTCTGAAAAGGGGAGTGTGGGGAGTGATCTCAGTACTTTTCCTAGCCAGTGAACCAGGGACAAGGGTGGGGAATGAGTGCAGAAATTTTCTATGGGCTACTCATTTATATTTGTGATGGTGAGAAAACAGTCTTCGGATCTAGATAATTAAAGACAGTTTTAGGGGCACACACGAATAGAGTGTGTAGCGTAGTGACAGAGTGCAGGCCTGGAATACATGAGGCACTGGGTTCCAACCCCTGCAACAACTAGATAACTAATTATAAAAATCCCAGGACAAGAGGGGAAGAGAAGGTGACAAGAATTGAAATCTTTTCTGTGGTCTTTCTAGACAGCAACCATATATTGGTCTAGATATGCATAGGCATGGCTCATGGTTTAGCAGGGCCGAGCAAGCTTGGGTTAGACAGAAAGCAAAGTGCAGTGTGAGGAGTCATGAGCACTTTCCCTGGCTTGGCCACTTCATGTCTTGTATTTCAATTTCACCAGCTGTAAACTGGAGCTAATGACAGCTGCCTTGCTTACATCACAGGTATTTAGGGAGCCTCAGTGAAATATACAAGTACAACTATGACACCAATACTCGAGTGGTTATTAGTAATATTTACTGAGTATCAACTGTACACTAGACACTGACCCTGCATACACGTATGTAACATACACACACATTCATACACACATGTACATGTAGATATGAACAGCTACGTGTATATGTGTTACATGTGCTACATATGTGACCCTGCATACACATACATAACATATGTTACTTCAGCTCCTGGCAGCTATCCTATAAGACATGTTATTTTTTGATGGATGAGGAAGTGAGAACTCTGAAAAACTCAGAGTTTACACTACTGGTCAATAGCCAAAGCAGGCTCAGAGTTATTATACCTTGTATCTAGATGTCCCTGAAAAGTCTCATGCAGTCATAGGTGAGGCTTTTCAGAGTTGGCTGGATCTTGGTACATGATGCTGGGATCAAGGATGTGATACTAGGATTAAGGGTGTGAGTGCTACCCACCCTAAGGGAAGGTAGCCTGGATAAGGTATGGGGGAATAAATACAGTCATCACTTGTAGCTTGCTGCTTAGATTCTTTTGTTGCCTTCTGCCTGCCATGAACTGTTTCTCCTCTGGGATGCTCCTCTGCCATGCCACTTTGTCTTGGAGAAGGCCAATTATGTATTGAAACCTCTACAAACTAAACTAAATAAATTAAATAAACCTTCCCTCTTTTAACTCTGGGTGTCAGATATTTTGTCTCAGGGATGAGAAAAAGTAACTAAAATACATTCAAAAGAGGAAGGACAGCCTGAAGGTGTGGATCTAGGAGCCAGATAGAACCATGTTTGAATCCTGGCTTTATCACTCATCAGTTGTGTGACTTTGGCCAAATTACTTAACATCTCTATCCGCTTTGCAACAAGTGGATAATCAGAAGACTTGCCTCATGTGGTTGTCATAGGGTTATATTAAGTATACGCAAAGTACTTAGAGGAGTTAGTGACACTTGTTAAGTCCTTTCTAAATGCCAGCACCTTTTATTTTTAAAAATGATCCCATGAAGCGATAAATCTCTCTGCGTAAGTGAGGGTAAGGAAAGGAGCTCATGAGTCTTATTACTTTCCTTATATGCTCTCCTTCAACATCCCTCAGCTGTAAATAAGAACCTCACCTAGAATGAGAGTGGTAGTAGGTGGTGGCGTTGCCTGGGAAAATAAGAAAAAAGCAGTTATTTGGTGGGGAGGTGCCTCTTTATTTTATTTGTGTCAAGAGAAAAGTTGGACCATGTGGTTTCAGCTCACAGCTGGCAGCTTGCTTTGCTTCTGTGGCCACTGTAACATATGTCAGTTTAATGGTCACTTGTATCTGAGACTGCCAGGATTGGTGAAGCAAGTACTTTGATCTTGGCTGAAGATGGAGAGAATTTTGCTCAATGTTTATTATGACTTTAAAGATTGTTTTCCAGTTGTAAATGAATGACTACACATCCCTACATTTGGTGTCATGCTGGAGCATGATATTTATTCTTTTGAGTAAACACTGCTGGAGACAAACTTCAGGTGCCCAGGAAATCTAGTCAAGCTGATGAAGTGCTCCTTGGGCCCCAGCACTCTGAAGTATGCCTTCATTCTTTATTGCATCCATCTCTCTGGATGTGAGGAGGATCTCAGGAGCCCTCTAATGCCCAGGTGGTATGTGAGGACATTCACTCAGAGGACAGAGACTTGTGGGATGCCTGCACCACTGTGCACATCTGCAAATGCTATGCTCTGACACTGGCATCTGATGGTCTGACTAATGTCCACCAGCCAATATCTTGCTATCGCCCAAGAAAACAAACTTATTTATGAGCAGTAGGTGCTTTACTCTGCTGAGTGGCCAGCATGAATCCATGCTGAGCCCCTCTCAGCTGCAGAAAGTTGGAGGGAGCCCTCCCACACCTACAAGCTGATAGATTCATTGTACTTCAGATCCTTGCTTTGCTCCGGCCCCTGTAGCCCACTCCACCTCAGGGCTCCTGTCTGGGACATGACATGTACAGATCAAAACAAGTGGCTGGTCCACAGGCCAAGGACCAGCAAACTCACTGGGCCCCAGGCATAGAGGAGTCAGAAACTTGCACTAGTTATAACTTGAAAAAATTATCCACCATCTCTCTTTAGAGGGGCACAAAGCCAGTCCCCACTCCCCAACATCTCATACCAACTTTTCAGTGCAACACTGGCTCTTGGATGTCAAGGTCATAGACATGGATTAAGGATATACCAATGCACTGGGGACCCCTTTCTGCCTGCTTTTCCCCTCTGCCTAGCTTTCTCCTTTGTGGTATATGAAGCCAGTTCTTCAATGCTTGGGGCCTGGTGTCTTACCCTTGTGCTGGGCTAAGACTTGCTCATTCTTTGCAATCACTCAGTGCCCCCTAACACTTCTCCCTTTTCCAGCTTTCCTTCAGATCAAGCTGTGTGAGAGAAATAAGGCAAATTGGTGGCTGGCTGAGGAATGAGATCATTTCTCTCCCTTCTTAGTAGCTTGCTGTCTGCTAGCCAGGGTGAGGGAAAGCAAGCAGGAAAGCACGCTCTCTGAGGAGAGCCATCTGGCTCCAACAGACTCACACAGTTGCTAATCTGTGCGTCTCTTTTTCTTTATTCTTTTTTCCTTGTTTGTTCAGAGGAACACTTCATCTGCAGCTGTAAATTCAGACCTGGTGCGTGTGAAGGCAAGCGTTCATTTGGCATACATGTTTATTCCTACATTATGCCCCCCCACCCCCGTTCCTCTCGTAGGTGTCAGCAAGCCATTGTTATCCTTGGTGTGTGTATGTGGATTTAATGTCAGGGCTGTACTTTCAAATGGAAATCAGGCAATTATGCTCTACATGGAGAAATCTGACAGATGCAGAGGTTTTACACCACTGGCCGTGTCTAGGGGACAAAGGCGACTGGTGCTCCTCAGGGACTGTTAAATAAATAGAATATGTTTTAAGAGCACAGAAAAATTCAGAAATAATGAACTGTGTGATGAGAGTTCATAGGTCCTGTGACTGTTTAACTTCAAAATGTGATAATGATATGTCAACCAACTGTTTAGTGCATCTTTGGAGAGGCAGCATCACCAAAGCCATTACAATGTGCATCAAACCAGAGGCAGGGACTGCTCTATGCATCTGCTTTCTGTGTTCCAAATGCAAATCTTTGGAGGATTTTAACTTGTTTCCTCATCTCCGGGAACTCCATTTGGCATCAGGAGAGGAGAGGATGGTGATAGCTTGTTGTTCACCTGATGGACCAGCTTCATGTCTGCATTCAGGGGTGTCCAATATCAGTGGTCTCTGTAGATGTGAGTGGTGCCTAGTAATGGTGGTGTCCACACAGGGATTTATGCTGAGAGATATGGTGACAATATCGTTGTGATTACTTTGTTTTGTTTTGTTTTGGGTAGGGTGGAGGATGGAACCCAGGGCCTTGAGCATGTTAGCCAAGTGCTCTATCACTAAACTGCATCCCGCAGCCCCTCATTGTGGCTGCTATCTCGTTACATGCCAATCACCCAGCTAGGTGCTCTCCACAATGGCCTCCTACAAGGCACTCTTCTTATCCACATTTCACAGAGAAGAATGGAGGCACTTGGCTAAGCAGAAGAACTTGCTTTCAGACTCAGTCCTGCTCAACTCTGATTTAGCTCCAAGCCTCTGGATTGAGCCTCTCCAGTGTTTCAACAGATAGCAGAAAGAAAGATGCACTCACTCATGGAAACTTTATGAAGCACTTTCCTGGAAGACATGCATTGTTGTATGATACATGCAACAGTGACTGGGCAGGAGACACCTAAATAAAAACTTAAGCTTATTTTTCTCCCTCAATACCTGGCTATTTAAACAACTGATTAATTTGGAACCTGAAAGATGCAGTAAGATTCATCATTGCATGTGTCCAA